GGGGTTCAGACTTTGTGGACATGTATTCAATAGCAGGGGCCCTCTTTAATAGAAAAGATACAAACGCCTCTTCAAAACTTGGTATGAACATGAATGTTTATTTTGAATGAATAAAAATGGTAACAAAAAGTACAGCGCTAACAAATGCACAAACTTACAACTGCAGGACCCAGTGTCAGGGCTTCTCCTGTCCCTGCGAGGCCCGGGAGCCAGGGACCTGGGCTGAAGCTCGTCAGCTTCCAGATAAATCACCTCAGGGACTTGGCCCAGCTAATGGACATCTCTGATTCTTTTTCCAGTGATACCTTCTGGGGCTCAGCCTGGCGCACCCCAATAAGGGAAGGACGGTGTTAGGGAAGCTTCTAGCAGTTTTGAGCAGGGCCCACCCTGGTGGTCTGGCACTAATGTTTATCTTCTCTGTAGAAGCATCATGTAGGAATTTATTCACCAGCAGGGTTACAAGCTTCCCTGCATTGCCAGCAGCCCCCCGGGCCGGCTCTGCCTCCGTGAGCATCAGGGCTATACAGGTGTGAATGTGTGACATGGCAGAGAGCCTGGCACGGCACTAATGTGGGTTTCTCTCCCATCTCCCCCAGGCCAGGCACCTGAGAAACAGAGGCAGTGCCCCCTGCAACCTACCTATCAGTGTCCTGGTGACCAGGTGGCTCCCCCCGCTGGCCCCCAGGGCAGCAGGGCGCAGGGGTGCTGGGCCAATCCTCTCCTCTCTGAGGAGACCCTGGGGCCACCTCCTCTTGTCACTGGGCTGGGTCTCCTGACGCCAGCGCCTCTGTCTCTCACAAGGCACTAAAGACCCCCTTCCTCCTCCCACTCGCCTGGCCCCTCGGGTCAGCGCTTACACACCCTCAGTCCACTCTGTATCCTTCCAGGGCCTCCAGCTGGCAGCTTTGGGGGTGTGGCGGGGGGCCACTGCACGTGTGGAAGCTTAGGGTGTCCAGAAGGTCCTGCGTCTCTGGGTGAGGCTGGTGGATCAGAGAAGGAAGCGTCCAGGATGAAGGGTGGTTGGGGAAACAGGGTTACTGACAGGACCCACCTGTCACCTGGGCGGTGGGTGGTCTCACCTCAGACAGCGACCTGAACTTGGCAGGACATGAGATTTGCAGGACAGGGGACAACTGTTCAGAGTCCTCCAGACCACAGCCAGGACAGCAGTGTGACACGTCCCCTCCGAGAGGGCCGCGGTGGAAGACAGGGGTCTGAGACTCCCCTTCCGGAGAGAGGGATCAAGGGGGAGCCCACTTCTCCCCAGGCCCCATCCCCACTGGCGCCCTGTGGGCCACCTGCTGGCTCCCGTGGCGGGCCCGCGCGGCCTGGTGGCGCCACCTGGTGGCCTCTCGAGGAAGCGTGGGCCGGCCTCGCCGCCTGACACCACCCTCAGGTCTCTTTCCCCACCCCGACCCCTCCAAAACCCTACAGGACCCAGCAGTGTCCCTGGGACCCACTGCCCTCCTTTGACAGCGAGTGCTGACCCCTGAGTCCTAAGAATTGGGCGTCCCGGAGCAGATCCTCTATTCTCCACCTCCCTCATTCCCTGTAGCTGCATCGTCTTGAGCCAATGGTTTAAAGAGCTGAACTTCTCTGTCTTCTTTGCTGGGGAACAGGAAACCTCAACAACACCACATTCTGGACTCGTGGGCAACTGGACAGGTTGACCCCCTCAGGTTGACCCCTGGAATCAGGGCCTCCCACGAAAGACTTTGGTTCTAGTATCTGAAGGTCACAGATAATTGGGGGTGGGGGACAAGTTCAAGCTTCTGGGCAAGTTGGGGCCTCTCATTCCCAAGGCAGACGTTAGTCAAGCCCCTCTCAAGAGCAGGGTCCAGCTGGGGTCTTTGACCAGACCCCCAAAGTGAGGCCCTGCCAGGGAGGAAGCAGCCTCCTCTGATCTCCAAGAAATACCCTGATTTGGGGGCAGACAGTGTTAACTCTTACTGGGATGGGTGGTCCCCGTGGGCAAGACCCCTTCAGCACCCTTCCCCTTGACCAGCAGCTGGGACCTCCTGTCTTCTCCCAGGTGACTGTCCCACTCATGGTCCCCACACACTGCACCACCCACGAGCCTGAGCAGAGCTGTGGTTTTCAAGCCTGAGACTCATTCAGAATAAAACATCAAAAGCACCTGCCGGGCTGGTTAGACCATAGCTGCGCTCACCCTCTGGCAGTTTGACCCAGAGGTCTTGGATAAAGCCTGAACATCTGGGTTTCCAGCAAGTTCTAAGAGGATGCTGGTGCTGGCAGTCCACGGAGGGCAACTGACTTCAAGTCCACATTAGACCTGGTGGTGAATCCTGGCTCCATCACTTACTAGCACTGAGTCCCTGAGCTAGTTCCTTGGCCTCAGTTTCCTCACCTGTAAAATTGGGGCAATTCTCTGAGCACTACAGAGAGCATTTGATAAGACAGTGCAGATGAAGAACTCAGCGTGGGGGCTAGAAGAGGTGGTGGTGCAGTCAGTGGGGGCTGCTCTTGGGATTCGTGAGCCTAAGTTCCACCCAGAGCTCTCCCATGAGTGACAGACACTGCAGAGTTGGGCCAGAAGATTCGAAAGGCAGAGAATGATTATGACAAAAAGAGTCAACCATTTTATTTGGGTGGCTGAGAGCTTGGAGAGGACTTGGTGACAATCCTACAACAGGAAGGGTGCAGTGGAGCATGGGTGACCATTTCCAGGAGTCAGGGGACCCCACCCAGAGGAGGGGACGCATTGTCTGGACCTCGAAGGTAAGCGTTCCTCCATGCAAGAAAGGAGGCATCAGGCTGAGAGCACGAGTGTTGAGATTCTCAACTCTGGCCACGCCTCAGGATGACCTGGGGTCCTTTTCAAAATCCCGGTGCCCAAGTGGTTCCCCAGATCAATGACTTCCGAGTCTCAGGGGGAGGGGGAGTAGGCGACACATAGTTCTTTAAAGCCCCTCGGTGTCCGAGTAGAAGCCAGGCGAAGATCAAGCAAAGGCTGGGAGGAATGAATTCATGTTCCTGCCTTGGGGTGGGGAAGGGAAGAACCAAGGTGGCTGGAATGTGGGGTGCATGAGGCAAGGGGCAGCAAGAAGGGAGCAAGAAGGCATGTTGGGCCATTTCCTTAGACCCACAGAAGAACTCTGGCTGATGAATGAAACAAGCAAATGACCGGGGCCTTTACTTTGCATAATGTGTATTCCTGAAAGCTCCATGCTCACGTGTGAACAGGACTTGCTATTGCGCAGGGAGGGAGCGGCTGAGAGACTCAGCACCACCTGGGATTACCTCCATGTGCTGAGGATGGAGCAGACTCATCTCTGGAATTGTCTTTGAGCCTGGAAAACTGCAAGGACTCACTGCATGTCTGTTGGCCGGAACTTGAGCAGCCCTTGGTCCGACCCGTGCTCTTATTTGGTAGCCAGCCTCGATTGCCTTTGGGCTTGGGGGCCTTGCGTGGCTGTTCTGAGCTCAGGGAGGTGAAGAAAATCCACCAAGGACCCAGGCTGGAAACCCAACTTTTGCCTTTTCATGTCATTCTGTGTCTCACGCCACCTTGTCAATTCCATTTCCTGAGGTAGGTCGGAGTTGAAGGCGCAGAAAACCTAATGGCTGTTGCGGGCAAGAGGAAATATCCAGAAAGAAGACCTGGAATCTAAGACATAGAAATCTTGACAAATGTGTCCTTTCTTTTCAAACTGGAACCTCCCAGCACTTTCCATTGATTCTTATAAGTTGGTGTTTCTGGCAATCGGGGACTGTATCCTGGAGTGAGTCTCAAGGTGCTAATTTTGCTAACCATGGGATACAGGTTGATTTTTCCAACATCCTCTCAAAGACACTTTGATTTCTCAACTAGGACATTTCAAATATGCAAATAGTAAGACCCTCCTGCTTCACGCGTGCACCGAGCGGCTCGCACACCTTGCCACATCCTCTCCCGGCAAGGATCCCCGGGGTGACTCTGAGAGAGGATCTGTGTGCAGTGGGTTATCTGAACATGCCCCAAGGGGGTGGCAAAAGGAGACAGGGAAGTGAAGGAGGCCAGCACCGGGTGTGCTAGTGAACAGCTGGGCCCATTCCATGGGGGGACTTGGGGAGACCGGGCCGTCGTGGCCCAGAGCTAACTCAGGAGAGGGCACCCTCCCCCCTCATCATCCCTCCTCATTAGTTGGCGGCAGCTCCCAGAAGCCTTAGTGCCAGGGCTGGCTAGCCTGTTCTGTGCATGCACACGCTTGAGCGGCAGGAGAACATTCCCAGGCCAAGGGGAGCTGGAGAAGCAGGCCTGTGGGCACTTATGGCATCTGCCACACAGACCAACCCATGCACATGCCAACTCATCCCTGCACAGCTCATGAGTGCATCCACCCACTGAGTGTGCACCTTCCATGCCAAGCCATTCACACAAGCGCCAGCTCGTGTGCACGCCCACACTTCCAGGGCGTGCCAGTCGGGGGCCACTCAGTGAGGACACCGATCTGCACAGAGGCGGGCACTCAGGACCCAGCCCGGTGCCTGGGAGCACGGGTGGCAACTCACTTGGCGACAACGGTGCGCTGGGAGGGGGCTGGTCTCACGTGCATTCATGCAGCTGCTCAAAAAGAGGTTGTCCAGGCCGGGCTGGTTCACCAGCTGCAAACAGCGAGCCACACGGGACCATTTTCATTTCCCAAAAGTACGAATTGCAAGAATAAAGTTTCTTTTCTCGTGTCGCCAGTGACATCCATGAGGTGGTTTCATCTGCATAAGGTGGGACTTTTGGGAAATAAAGACAGAGGAAAGGACTGGGCTTTGGGGGATGGGGGATGGAGCCCCCCATTTTTGATGTCCTGATACGGAGGACACGGGCTGCGCAGCCCCAAGACTGAAACGGGCTCTCATGCAGGAGTCGTTGCCAAGTCCCGAGGTTGCCAAGTCCCACTTGGCTGGCAGTGCTGCCAAGCGGTGTCCAACCTGCCCCAGAAGACAGGCCGCGTGAACCCGCGCGCCTGCACCTGCAGCCCGAGAGGAGACCGCGTCTTCGTTCCCTAACAAGGCGGCAAAACTCTTGCAAAGAACAACATGAGATTTTTGTAGATGAGAATCAGCCTGTTTTGCACCAACTTGAAGGCGATGCACACAATCTCCATCCCGACGATGATGTAGATGGAGAAGAACAGGAAGAAGTGGGGGTGTTCCAGAACGATGTCCCCAAACCCGATGGTGGTCAGCGTGACGAAGCAGAAGTAGAAGGCGCTCTCGAAGTCCAGGTGCTTCTCCCAGATGGGCAGGATGGCGGCGGCGCAGGAAATGTAGGCGAACACCAGGAGGGCGATGACCGGCAGGGGCACGTCCAGCCGCTCCACCTGCCGGCCCACCTCGTCCAGGTTGCTGATGACCGAGCGCGACAGTCTCCCCAGCAGCAGCTCGGGGCACGAGTTGCTCCTCTCCACGCCGCGCGCGGGCGCCTGCAGGGTGTGCTGCTGCTCCTGAGCCAGGAGTCTCTCAAACAGCTCGCAGTTGTGGCTGGAGGCCGGGGGACACAGGTCCGCTTTGGGGCCCGGGAGCTCTTGGGCGTGGATGACGATCCTCGGGAGCGTGTCTTCCGCGGGCTTGACCTCGGGTCGCCTCCGCTGGAGAAGACGGGGCCGCCACGCGGAGAGGCGAGGGCCCCGCAGGCAGAGTTGGCGCAAGCGATGGTAGGACTTGGACAGGACGGTGGCCAGGACGTCGCCGGTGTCCGTGAGCACCAGGAACATGAGGGGGATGCCGAAGAGCGCGTAGAGCATGCACAGGTACTTGCCGAGCTTGGTCACCGGGTAGATGTGGCCGTACCCTGAGAAAGAGGGGAGCCCGGGTTGCTGTCCGGCCCTCGTCCGCCCAAAGCGCTTTACAGACACCTGCTGCCACCTCCCCGCCCGTGCGTGTGCAATGCCGGGGACAGCGCCGCCTGCAGACATTCACCCACTCGCTGGGGTGAGTGCGCCCTGGTGCCAGGAGCAGGGGCTGGAGTCCGGCTTCTCTTTGAGCGTGGAGCTGTCAGGACATGGGGGAAATTCTGCACCCCTCTGGGTTCTTCTGAGACGGGGCAAATGAACATCAGACAGAACCATCAGGAAAAACCATCTGGTCACATACACGTGGGGACATCAGTGTGTCTGTGCATACATGCCTGGCTGTGCATTGTAAAGTAAAATGGGGTGAACCAGCAGTTTGGATCCTGTACTAAGGGACTTGGGGCATCAAGAAAAGAGGGGGTGTCATATGAGAGATATATATATATGTGTGTATATATATATATATATATATAGAGAGAGAGAGAGAGAGAGAGAGAGAGAGATATGAACGGGATGCCTTCATCTTCATTCTAAGGGTAAAGGGTAGTTTCTTAGATAGTGAAGACGTGTTCCCTGAGATTATTTCCTCAACTGGGAATAAGCAAAAGAATTAGGAGAAAGACAAGAGCTTCTCCTTGGCCTCCAGGGCCTTGAATGATCTTAGTTCCAGATAATGAGGCCCACTCTGGACGTCTTGGGAAAAGGCCCTCTGACTCCTTTTAGGGACCCCTGTTGAGGAGTCAACTCATGTTCAGATCTTTTTTTTAATATTTATTTATTTATGCATACAAGAACTGGGGTACAGGCCAGAGTTGTGGAGGGTAAAAGGATTCACCAGAGACAGAGTGGGGAACAGAATAGGCAGATCTACTGAAATACACTGCTGAGGGGAGCAGCAGGTGAGACAGGAGAGGTCTGCTGTACCATGTGGGTAGCTCCTGGGTGGGGGATCGAACTCGTGCTGCAGAGGCTGTGGACAGCTTCATAGGTTGCGTCTTAACCCCTTGCACCACCAGGGAGGCCCTCACGTTCAGATCTTTGACTCAGAATGTTCCTGGGGACAAGCATGCACTTAGGAGTGAACTGACTGCCTTGTCTTCTCTGGCGGCTACGTCTGAGCATCGGTGGGTGTGAGGGTGGGCGGCTCCCATAGGGGCAGGGTGAGTGCAGGTGAGGGGTGTGGACGGCTTTGCAGTCTTGCTCACCACTGCCTTCAACCTCCAGGGAGACACCTGGTTTTAAGAAGACACCGTTGTCCTCCCTGGGATGTCTGGGCTTCTCAATTTATTTGTTTCTACAAAATAAGCAATTGTTATATGCCAGTGGTGTGCACAACATTGCACACAGTATCAGGACCAATAGAAAGATGGAGGATGAATAAGTTGCAGTTGCTGCCCTGGGAACCTTACGCGACTTAGTGGATTAGGTAAATATGTTCCTACATCGTAGCGCGGTGGTTAGTACCCAGTACCTAGAATCTTACTGATCTCAGTTCAAATCCCAGCTCTGCCACTTAGAAAATTATTTGACAGCTCCCATCTTTGGGTTTCTTAATTGTCACATGGGAATGCCAGTCTTTGTGCACTGATCAGCTGGAGGAATGACGTGAGCCCAGTGGGCCACTGGTGAATGTTGGTGTTCCTGCCCTTGGAACTAATAGTAGCTGCCTTTGAGCACTCACTGGGGGCCAAGTAGCAACCAGCTTTCATAGGCAGGTATGGGTGTCACCATTGACAGATGGGGAAACAGAGGCTTATAGAAATGAAGCAACCTGGCCAAGAGCACCCATATGCTCTTGACTCCCACAGTGGAGCTGGGAGACCAACCCCAGCCATCAGCGCCCAAGTCTGTGCTCTCATCTCCACTGGGACAGGAGCACCCAGGGGAGCAGAACCCTCCAATCAGCCAGAACAGGTCAGCCAAGCAAAGGGAGGAGTGGTTGTGGTCCCCACGCTCTTCAGGAGTCCCATCTTGCTGTTCCCCCACCAGTGTCGACAGAGGGGCAGGAGCAGAGACTTTAAACTTGAGGCACACGGGCGACTGGGTACTTCTGCCATGGGAGAACTCAGTGACTTCCATGCACCATGGGAAAAGCTTTTGCATTTAATGCCTGCATTTAATTTTTTATGTCATAAAACATGATTAATACAGAAAAACCCAGCCCAATTATGTAAATTAAGTTGGAGGCAATTCCTAAGCTGGCTAAGCCCCAGCCTCCTCCAGGCTGCAGCTCCCTGTGGGCTGCTGGCCTGCAGGCACAGGTGGGCCTGCCGGGACCCCTCCTGGTGCCTGTGGTTGGATGGTGGGGGCGTGTCACCTCTGTCTACGCCGGGGACACGGTGAGCAAAGTATGGGATCCGAGCTGGCAAGTTTCTGGTCGAGTGGGGGAGGCAGGCCTGAATCACATCTGTAACTACTTGGGGGTCAGTAACAGGGAGTGAAAGAGCAGCCTCCATCCTGGACTCACCTTCACGGAGCACCTGCTTTATGTCAGGCACTTATGGGCGGGGCTCACTGGGAACAGGCTGAGGGTGCCCCCGGGAGCGCCTACTAAGAGGAAGCAGGACCTTGAGCCCAGTCCCTCTTCCATCCAGCAGGTGCGGCCAGGACCCCGTAGGCCTGTGCGTGGCCTCAGAGCACTGGGTTCGGTCTGTGGGCAGGACTGGTGGAGGGTGAGGGCGCCGATTGCCCCTTCCCATCTCTGTTCTCTGAAGCTGTCCAGCAGCTGGGGCCTTGCTCAGGGAGCGGAACAACAGCCCTGTCTTCGGGACAGCCTCTCGTCCAGGCTTCGGGAAAGCTCAGAGCCACTGAGGAAATGGGAGGCAGGATCTGCGAGAGGGGGCAGCAGAGGTGGGCATGCACAAGATGACCGACTGCCCGGGGTGCCCAGGACAGGGGGTCTCTCAGAACACGGGACTTTTGGCACTAAGACCCTGGCAGTCCTGGGCACAAAGGACAGTTGGGTGCTGTAGCCAGGGAGGGGGACTTCTCTGGACAGGGAGGATGGGCGAGCAGCACGCTGGAACCTCTTCCGGCGAGGCAGGGACTCAGAGAGGCCCAGCCGGGAAGTCCCGGAGGCATCCAGTCCTGGGGTTTCAGCAGCTTCCTGGTCCCCACAGAGCCATCAGCCCTTTGGAATGTCAGCAGCAGCCATGGGGAGCCACAGACGGGGTACCCTATTTTCCAGATATTACATAAGCCCCCAGTTTTTGTGGCTCCCCTAGAAAAGTCAGGAGAGGATCCCCAGTGGAAACCCCTTAGCCTCCAGGACGGGGTTCCAGGGTCAGATATTTTACTTAAAGAAAATAGTGTCCTATTTCTTACAGGATTTCTAGAGTAAAGTATGATTTGGAGTCAAAATTCCCTGGAGAGCAAACACCCTAATTCTGGCAACCACTGTGACTGCCACATTTAGTGGATTAGGAACAGGAAAGCTGGGTGAGCTGGCCAGGCCCACACGGCCCACACAGGGGTATGCACGTCCCTCCTCCCCCCAAAAAAACCTTCCCCTAGGCACATGCTCAGGCCGAGCTCTCCTTGACAAAGGTGGGCTAAGTGGGTTATAAAAGAAGGCTTTGAGGCTGCCTCAGGGTGGGATCTGTTTACAATCCAGAAAATCCTCCACATTCCAGAAAATGCATCAAGGAAGCCAGTCTCTGGGCGCACTCAGCACCTACAAATGTACTAACTGTCTCAATTACTGCATGCTGAAAAGCATAATGGAAAAATCATCTCGTCTCTAATAATGCATTCATATATTCCAGTACAGCCAGTTCACCCCACTTGGCCTGAGAGTATTTAAAAGCCCATGCACTTTACTTCCTCATCCGATGGGGCCCACCCAATTGAAAACGGCTGGGGGTGAACCAACCTCACCGCTGCCAGGTGTCCCTTTCTCAGCATCAAGGTCAGACGCATTTCCGGCGCCCTGGCGGGGAGCAGCAATACCTGCAGGATCTACGAACACTGTTACGGAAGGACCTTCCCCCAGCACCCTCTTCCAATGGTAATTACTGGACAACATGATGTCCTAATTGCCTTGCGCAAAGGTAGGAGTATTGCTTTCTTGGGATTTAAACTAAGCTAATGCATTTCCATTAGGCCAGTCCAGATTCCCATTAGAATCTGAAAGACCCGGGCCCCATCCCCAGACATTCTGACTTGATTGGTGTGGGGTAGGGTCCAGGCGTGGTCACTTATACAAGACATCCTGGTGATGCTAATGTGCAGCCAGGGCTGAGGATTCCTGCAACAGGTCAGGGCCTCTCAAACATGAGCGTGCAGCAGAACCACCTGGAGAACTTGTTCGAGCACAGATGGCTGGGCCACCTGCAGGCTTCTGACGAGCAGATCTGGAATGGAGTCTAAGAATTTATTCACATTCTGGGGCCTCCCTGCTGGTGCAGGGGTTAAAGACACAGCGCTATCAAGCTGTGGCAGCCACTGCAGCATGAGTTCCATCCCAGGCCAGGCAGGAAGCTGACCCACATGGCACTGCAGACCTCTCCTGTCTCACCCGCTGCTCCCCTCAGCAGCGTATTTCAGTAGATCTGCCTGTTCTGCTCCCCACTGTCTCTGGTGAATCCTCTCAACTCCCCCACACCTCACCTCAATCCTCTCAACTCCCCCACACCTCACCCCAGTTCTTGTATGCATAAATAAATAAATCTTTTTTAAAAAATTCATCTGCATTCTAACCAGTTCTTGGTGGTGCTCAGGCTACAGGCCTGGAGGCCACACTTCGAGAAGCATTGCTGTAGATCAGTTGTTCCAGACGGGGACAATTTTGTCCCCCAAGGGACATTGCCAATGTCTGGAGACAATTTTCGCTGTCACAACTGCTGAGGACATTAGGGCAAGAGGTGGGTGCATCCAGCGCATGGAGCCTTCATCTTCCAGACCCCCACCCCGATCACCAGGTCCCTGCCCAGCCTACCCTTGGACTTGGACTTACCCACGGTGCTGAACACTGTGCAGCAGAAAAAGAGCGAGCTCAGGAAGGACCAGTCAGCAGACCTGCTAAACCACTGGGGCTTCACCGTCTTCAGCAGCTCCCCAAGATCCTGTTTCCTGTCTTCCTCAACTCAAGAAAGAAAGGACCAGAGTGAGGGAGAGGATTCGCCCTTCAAGAAATTTCCCAGGTGCAGGGGCATCTCCCCCAGGACCAGAAGACTGCCCCCCCAACCTTGTGGCCCAATCAACACCAAACCCGGCTTCTGGAGTCCTGCTGTTAAATATCCTGGCAGCTTAGGTCCTGCTCGCACACCACAGAGATTAGGAAGCCAAACGACCTTGTGAGAAGAGCACCCAAGGGAGAAGCCCTCAGGGACTCAGCTCAAACTCAGCCTGTGCAGCCTCCGGGGTCTTTTTGAACTTCCTAAGCTTCCCCCTGAGTTTTCATCTCCCAAAGGGGTGCGCTAACTTTTACCCTGTCTCACAGGGTGTTCAAGAACAGAAAGCGAAAGGCTTTTAGAAAATGCAAGCTGTTATGTGGAGCAATTAGTTCCCTCCTGGAGGTCATTAAGCCTGACGGATTTTGGTGATTTGGGATCTGTGAGTACTGGAAGCCTTGGATTCTAAATCACCCTCCCCAGGGCCAGGAGAACACTCAGAGCCCTGGTGTCCCAAGGAGTTTCCCAAGTGGCTCTGTTGACTTGGGCTACTGGGCTTTGGGAACCCCGAAACCTCCAGCCACAGTCTAGTTCAGAAAATCCTCCGAGGAGGTGCCCTGCCTGAACACAGCAGGCATTTATGTCTCATTTAAATGGGCATCAGACACCTGCATGCTAGACCCAACTCTGACCCTGACGAGTTCCTGCAGCCCTGGCCAAGAGGCTTCTTTTTCTGAGTCTCAGTTTCCCCATCAGGGAGGAGGACCTAGTGAAAAGCTCTGACTCTGGAGCCCACAGGCCTATGGGCAAATCCCTAGCTTGTGTTCTAGTTTGTGACCTCCGGCAAGTTGCTAAATTCCTGGTGTCTCAGGCCTAATCGGGAAAAGAGGAATCATTCATACCCACCTCCTGATGATGTGGGCAAGGAGCCTCTGAGGGAAGAGCCTGGCATGTGTGTTCTACACCAGCTCTGGGTGCTTCTGGGGTGACCAGGTTTGGGGAGCCCTGCACTTGCTGACCGTCTGGGCTCTGTGATGCTCACTCGCTGCATCCACCAGCAGTAGGCATGTGTGCTCCGGCATGGATTCAGAAAAGGCAGTAAGACCCTCTATGGAGGGGCACCCCTGACCAGCCTCCAGTCAGCCAGCACCACAGGGACCCACTCCACGAACTGGTGGGTCCTGTGGCGCAGTAGGGGTGGGAGCGCCCTGATCAGCTTGGCTGAGGACCCTTCATTGCAGGAGAGGGACCCTGTTCTTTTGACTTTTAGAGACTGTTTCCCTCGTCTTTTATTTATTTGCTCCTGTTGTTTCTCTTTCTCTGTTGAATACATCTTTGCAAGCTTTGGAGAATGGAGCAGAGTAGAAATAAATGAGTAAATGTAAGTGAAATGCAATAAGGACCTAAGGGTCTCGTGCCTTCCAACCAGCTTCCTGTCCATCCCCTCATTTGCTTTCCACAGGGTCCCTGAGATTGGCTGGCCTGAGATTGCGGGTCCTGCAGACTGAGATCCAGAGAGGGTCAGGGCCCCGACTCACACAGCAAGGCAGGGTTGCAACCTGGACACCGGAGCCAGGTCCCCAACTTCTCACAGCCCCACCCTGAGCGCTTTGACAGAAAATGTCATTTTAAACAGGAAATGGGAAGACAGGGGAGCAGGCTGCTCTCTTGGGGGGGCCCAAGCCCACTTTGATTTTTGCTTGAATTCTAGTTCTCATTAACTGATTCATGGGGTGTGGCTGGCATTGTTCTGAGGACCAGCCTAGAGGCCCACAGCTGTGAGTCTGGTCACCCACTCACCCCATCCCACCCCACCTCACCAAGTCTCCAGCCGTCCATCCCCCAGGGCCTGCTGGGCTGGGTGCGGCTGGCAGCAGGGGCGACGGCAGGGAGAGGATCTGCCAGGGCGCCCCCTCAGGGGCCGGTGCTCTCCTGCGTTCTTCACAACAACTGTGAGGGCTTTTCTTTCCCCCATTTTACAGACGAGAAAACTGAGGTTCAGAGAGAAGTCACCTGCCTCAGGTTGCCCAGACACTGGAAGGATCCAAGCTGACGACTCCCAGACCCAGCGGCCTGCCCAGCTGCCCTCTGCTCTCTGAGATGCCCCCGCCCCAGGAGAAAAGGCCCCTTCTGCCCAGGTGAGCCCCCTACCTGTTCTGTTGCATTTCAAGATGCTGCAGAGGTTCTTCAAGAAGCCTTCAAACTCCAGGTCATCTGTGCTCGGGTCCCGGCCACCCTCGATGGCTGAAAAAAGAGCGGCGCCCACCAGCGCGTAGGTCACCAGGGAGCAGAGGAAGCAGAGGCGCGGGAAGAGCTTTCCCAGAGCCTCCTGGCAGCACCTCTGGGCCCGGGGCCTTCCCGCAGCCTCCATCCTCTTCTGAGCGCTGGACCCAAAGAGCTGCTGGAAGAGGCAGAAACACGGAGGGCGGGCGGGGGGAGTGCCCAAGGATGGCCAGGCGCCAGCCCTAAGTGGATGGTGCACGCTTCCCCAAGGACTGGGAAGCCGACCTCTCATCGCGTTCAGTTCAGTTGAATTACTCAGATGGCGCCCCCACCAGCGCCCCAAATTGCTATTGATCCACTGGGCGACTTGCACCCAGCAGCCTGGCTAGCTGCGAGCTGCGCCACGGGGCTCTGGGGGGACCGTGTGGTCGTTGCTTGTGCTTTGTTTGGCCTCCCCCTGGCAAAGCTGCACTTTTGGCTTTCAGGTGCCAAATCTGAGTTTTGGCTTTAGACACAATTGTCCTTCCTGGGGGTGTCTGTGGTACCTGGTCTCCTGGACAGGCAGTGACAAGGCTAAGCAGCATGGTCAGAGCACTACAGTTTACACAGGGACTTTCTCCAGTGTGGATCTAATTACTGGCCACTTAATGTGCTGGCTGGTAGCACGCCCACCCCAGTCCCAGCCTCCTGGTGGCCAGGCCAGAAGTATTTGCCCCTGGCTTGGCCACGTGACTCACTCTAGCTAAGCAGGTGTTGGCAAAGTCGTTGTAAACCCTGGTTTAAAATGTGCACCTGCAGCTGGGTGTGCCCCTGGGCACCCCGGTCACAGCCTTCAGAAGAACATGCCCCAAGTGCAGGCATGGAGCTATGTACAAATTCAGATGCCCCTTTCCTGAAGGGGCATCTGAATTTGTATAGCTTCTAGGAGGAGTATAGTTCCTGAGAGGATCCAGCTCTTTCTCACAGGATTTGCTTCAACTTTTGAGCCCTCTTCTCTGGGATGTCCTTATCCAATGACTGCGCAAGGCAGGGGTCCAAGAACGTAGCCATATCTGCCCCATGCCTCCAGCCTGCGATCTTTGTTCCGAGGTCCCTGTTGGTCCTCAGTTCTGCATGGTGATTGGAAGTTTAACCCACTTGTCCCATCCTATTCCCTTCCTTCTCCTTTACTTGTAAAGATTTTTCCCTCCTGACGCTCCATGTCTGCTTGACAGGAGATCCAACTTAACATAATTGGCACCAGGACTGGTCTGAGAAAGCGGCCTCTAACATGGGGCTGTAAGACTGGCTTGCTCAATCCCCAACGGGTAAGGAAATGTGCAGACAGCCCTCAGCTCAAAGTGACCTGTTCCATTGGTAAAATTTCCCCAGTGGTGAGTGGGGGTGGTGTGCAGGTGGAAAGAAATGTATTGACTTGTGCAACAATCCAGGCATTTCAAACATACTCGTGGGAACTTTCACTTTCTGACTTACTTCACTTAGCATAATCACCTCAAGAGCCATCCAGTTGTCCCAAGAGGCAGTGTTTTATCTTTATAAAGCTGAGTAGTATCCCATTGAGTATATATTCCATATTTCTTTATCCAGTCATCTGTCAGTAGGCATTTAGGTTCGGTTTATATCTTGATTAATGTAAATAATGTTACTCTGAATAGAGGCACACATAAATGTTTCTTGTATTTGTGTTTTCATATTCTTTGAGTAAATAGCTAGAAGCAGTGTTGTTAGATCGGTATGGTATTTCCATTTTTATGTTTAAAGAAATGAAACTATCTCTAGTCACAGATTACACGATAATACACATAGAAAATCCGAAAGACTCCCCCCAAGAACTTCTCAAAGTCATCAATAAAGTAGGAGGATGCAAACGCACTACACAAAAAATCTGTTGTGTTTCTATATGTAAACAATGAATTAGAAGAAAGAGAAGTTAAGAAAACAACCCTATTTCCAATTATACCAAAAAGGATGAAATACCTGGGCGTAAACTTAACAAAGGCAGTGAAGGACTTACACGCTGAAAACCATAAGCCGTTCTCAAAGGAAATAAAGGAAGACACAAAGAAATGGAAGGATATCCTGTGTTCGTGGGCTGGAAAAATAAATATTGCCAAAATGATCATGTTACCTAGAACAATTTACAGATTCAACTAGTGAAATTCAAGGAGAAATAAACACATCCACGACTGTCGTTGGAAATTTCCATATACCTCTCTAAATAATTGCTACAATAAGCAACGAAACAACAAGGATAGAGTAGACTCAGCGAAATTGAATAACTGACATTTGTAGAACATTTTTCCCCATGACTGAAGAATAAGCATGGATAATTAAATTAAAAATCAATAGCAGAAAGCTATCTGGAAATTTTCCAAATATTTGGAAATTAAATAACACACTTCTAAATAAACTTATCAGTCAAAGGAGAAATCACAAGAGAAATCAGAAAACATTTTGAACTGAATAAAAATTAAAATACAACAAAGCATATAGAGTGGGTGCTATAAAGCATTATTCTGCTGGGCGGTTGTGGATTTTAAGCAAGAAAATGACTATCATGTCTTCATTTCCAAAAGTTCGATCCAGTAATGGAGTCTAGGGGAAGGGTTGAAAGACAAAAGAGAAAGTGGGGAATAGGGTGTGACATTAAGTAGATATTTCACCAGGATTTAAGTGCTAAGACTAAAGTGCTAAGACTATGGCAGTGAACAGACAGAGTCCCTTGCAGTCTCTTTCTAGGGAAGGAGGAGAAGTAAATCCACAAATCAGGTCCCATCCATCAGTAGCCCTGGTAGGAGACTGGTTGGTGGGAGGGGGGATGGGCAGAGAGGTTGCTTTAGTGAGGCTGATCTGGCGAAGACCTCTCCCCAGAGGAGACATTTGAGCTCACCCCTATTTGATGAGGATTGACCATGCAAAGAGCCAGGATAAATGTTCTTGAAGCAGTCAGAATAGCAAATGCAAAAGCCTTGAGCATGGCCAGCGACAACAGTGGAGAGCAATGAGGATGGAGCAGGAGACAGGGTCTGTCAAGGAGGAAACTTCTGGCCATTTTAGAGCATCTGAAATGCAGTCCAGCTATAACCTCTGGGGTGTTTTCAGATAGGGGTAAGGGGCGTGGCAGGTTTGCTCTCTAGAAAGATCTCTGGCTTGGTGCTGGGGGCAGAGTCGGGGGAGGGAGACCAACTGGTCCTGCAGTAGTGGAAACTGGGGTCACGGCAGGGGAGATACTGAGAAGTTGTTGGATTCTAGATATATTCTGAAGACAGGGTGAACAAGACGTACCAGTGAGTAAAAAGGAAAACAGAGGTCTTGGGGGCTAAGAGGTAAATGTGAGGCCAAGGAAGGAAATTGGAAGTTCAGGTAGAAGAATGGAAATAGATGGGTTCAAGATTCTCAATTTCGGGGCCTCCTTGGTGGTGCAACGGGCTAAGACACAACATATGAAACTATCCGCAGCCTCTGCAGCATGAGTTCGATCCCCTGCCGGAAGCTGACCCACATGGTGCAGGAGACCTCTCCTGACTCGCCCACTGCTCCCCTCAGCAGTGTATTTCAGTAGATCCACATGTTCTGCTCCCCAGTCTGTCTCTGGAAAATACTCTCACCTCCCACACCTCTGGCCTGTACCCCAGTTCTTGTATGCATAAATAAATCTTTTTAAAAAAGATTCTCAATTTCATCTACTCTAAGATCCATATTTTCTCGTGTTTATACATCTCTGAAATCAAGATGTATTCTTCAATTGCTAGCATTATATCTCAACTGCTGTCTGTGGGATGGCTATAAGAAACAACTGTGAGGTAGTTATATGGTAAAAACATCCCAACGACCCTTTCTGGTAAGATTAAGAATATTCTAGCAGCAACACATCTTAGATATGGCAAAATGTGGGCAGCATACATGTGGATATAGCTGCAAGCAGAATTGACCAGAAGAAGCTCTCGAGTCACAATTCAGGAGCTAGAGGTCCCAGTTCTGAGCAGCAGACTGTGAAAGGGAGCAATCGACATCTTAGTTTTGGTCAAAGTTTGGGGTGCTGTAAGATACGCAAGCAAATGTGTCCAGGGGAGTTACAGTTAGGTTGGAGCTCAGAAGAGAAGGAGGCTGCAGAGCTAGATTGGGGCGGATGGTGATGATAGTCCATGCGGATGGTGAGGGAATGCGCGGGCCTTCCCAGCCACAGAACAGTCGCTCCTGGCTGAGTTCTGAGAAATCCCAACACACAGGCACCAGGGGAGGAAGGAGATCCTGCAGAAACCTCCATGATCAGGCAGCCGGACAGGAGATGGGAAATCACAGGGGAGGCCACTCAGGAGCCAGGAGGACAACCATTCTGATGCCGTTGATAAGTAAAAGAATATTCTGGAGAGTAGTTACCACCCCGTCACCAGAGATTATCTAGGATGTTTGGAACACAAGGGACTCCTCGCTTTTTTAAAACTTGATTTTCCCATGTTATGTATTGCTGGGACCTATGGATTGATGAAAGGAAAGACTAATAAGGCAAATTTGAGCAGCGTTAGTTATCTTACAGGTGAGGCGGATGCAACCACATAATAGGTGTTTGATGAAAGTGGATCTCCCCACCCCCGGGGAGGTTTTACACTCTGGAAGGAGTCCTCCAAGAAGACAAACCTTCAGAGTGGTTTTTTTATTGGCATGAATTTCTGATATCGAAGCTGACAGACAGAAAAGACCTTTTTGAACAGAGGCTGAGCTCTCTTGAGGAGCGGCCCTGAGCTGACACCACAGAGGGCCTTGTGGGGAATCTCACACCCAGCAAGACCGCCCACGTGCTCATTGCCCTGACCCTGCAGGCCAGGTGGAGGCAGAAACCTCTGCTGGATTTTATTTATTCTTAATTGTTAATTGTTAGAAAATTTTTAATTGTTAGAAAATTTTTAAGATCTGAATTTTTAATTGTTAGAAAAGACCCACCACACGCTTCTCGACCTTTTGGCTAAGGTCACGTGAAAAGCCCCACCATTCAGAAGGTGAGCAGAGGGCCACACACTCGGCTGGCGATTTTTCAGCCTCCTGTTCATTTCTGAGAATGTTACTTGAGGTGAATAATTTATGCCGTTTATTGACTCACATTCCTTAAGAGGTCTGGATAAAGGAACCTGACCGTTTCCACAAAGCAAA